CTACAAGAAACACTATCAAAATGTAGAGGGGAAGCTGCTGCAAAGTTGCCTCCTTTTCTCAAGACAATGAGGGGGCAGGGAAGAAAAAAATAATGCTGTGTTATGTTCAGGGCTCCCAGTGGTTATCTGTCCAAGGAGTGGTTGCCAGGCACACAGCCTTTTCACGTGCTAAAAAAATACAGACCTTTGGGGCCCTACCCTGAAAGGCCGCACACAAAACACGGCCCTCCCAGAAGGTTCACACTGGGCAAGTGACCCCCCCTCCCCCAAACGACCTTGACTCCCAGTCACCTGTGAGGCTGGATTCGGACTGCCTGGAATGAACTGTTGATGCAGTCTCCTCCCTCCAGAGCTTATGGACCCTCTTGAGGCATTTCCTTGGCAGCTACAGCAGGCATTTAAATCAGTGCCAGGTCTTCAACTGGATGGGGAAGCCAGGAAGCAAAGGGCCAGTATGTACAACAGATTTATCCCAGAGCCTGTCCCAGGAATGGTGCCAGTCCTTTGAGCAGCCCAAGCACAAGGTGAAACGCGTGGGTGCTGCGTCCTCACTGATGCTAGCACCACCTAGCTAGACCGCGTGGCCGCCAAGTACCTCTTTTCTGTTGTTCTCTGCACTGAGCAGCGTCTCCCTTCTCCTGACAGATAAGAGGATCTATCGACTGCCAGTGTTCACAGAGGAGTTCTGCCAAGCCTTCGTTGATGAGCTGGAGAACTTTGAGCAGTCAGAGATGCCTAAAGGCAGGCCCAACACTATGAATAACTATGGGGTAGGCCTCGCTGGCTCTTGTTCTTCTTCCGGGGGAGTGTTCATGAGCAGATGCTGATTACCTCCTTGCTTCTCATGCCTTCCCCCTCCAAAATGGGCATAATTTGAGTATAGCCTCCTTCCAAGTGAAAGGGCTGAGGGAATGTGTGCTACTTGTCCAGAGACAAAAGGACAGGGCAAAGCAGGGGAAGGGGATGGGGGCTGATTATCTCGGAGCAAAGAGCACCTTATACTTAAGCAATACCCTTTTAAAATGAACACTCAACTTTTGAACTTACTGTCTGTTCACCATCACTTCCCACCTTGACCCTCTTTCCTTTGTATGTAGCTGGAGCCTTTGCTCTTCATTTTTTAATCTGAGCAAGTAGCAGAGTTGAAGAATAAGACACAGCTCTGCAGCAGCTCTGGTGAAGCAGCAGATGTGACCCAGTTGCTGGTCAGCTGTTCTCCTCTCCTCTCTCTTTGGGACAGGTTTTGCTAAATGAGCTTGGGATGGATGAAACTTTCATCACACCCCTGCGTGAAAAATACCTGCGGCCCATAACGGCACTGCTTTATCCTGACTTGGGGGGTGCCTGTCTGGACAGCCACAAAGCGTTTGTGGTCAAGTACTCACTACATGAAGATCTGGATTTGAGCTCTCACTATGACAATGCAGAAGTCACTTTAAATGTTTCACTGGGAAAAGACTTCACAGAAGGCAACTTGTACTTTGGGGAATTCCGCCAGGTACTGAGCATCTTCCTAATTTGCACCCTTATCCTATTCTCTGCCACCCTCCCCAGTTTCAAACCAGTAATTGTGTTTCAGGAAGCTGCGAGTAGCTATGCTGAAAGCAGTGTTATTAATTAGAACTCTTAGAATAGAAAAATTAGATTTTTCTTCGACTGTAGTTTAGACTTCTGTCTAGAGAAACCCATAGGTAGAATGACTAGGGAGCTGCCAGGAGGAAATGTTTGTCAACTTCTGGCTAATGTATAAAAAAAAAAAAAAACCCAAAATAAAACCAAACCACAAACAAACACCCCTCCCCCCAATTATTCACTTCTGACAGTCAAAACCCCTCTGCCCTCCCCCCCCCCTTTTTTAAATGCAGAGGTTATACATAAGCCTTTTCTGCTACAGAAAGAGTTCTCAATAGTTAACCTAGTTGCAGCCAATTCAAAGAGAAGATATAGACAGCTATCACAGCAGAAACTGGAGTGAAACAAACCAACCCATCTTTCCACGCTAAAATAATGAGCAGGGAGGTGCAGAGAGAGAAACAGAAGTCATTTAAATCTGTGGCCCCTATTCCCAGGGGAATCCTGGCAAGAGAGGGGTAATAACACCGATACACCAGTAAAACAGCTTTTTTGACTGAAACTCTGTGTTTAAATCCCCTCTGGACCTAGCACTGTCTGCGTCTTACTTGCAAACAGTTGTACTGAACTGCTGCCAAGTCACCGCAGAAGTGACTGCATTTCAGAGCTGCAGTGAGTCTTCTCCATTTCACTTGCTGAGTGCTGCGGGTGAAAAGGTGGCAAGTGAAAGCTGCAACTGTTTGAGCACTGTCCTGCCAACGACCTTCTGGTGAAATGCTGTATCTGCCTCCCTTTGTTCCAGGATCCCACCCCTGTGCCAAAGTACATAGAGATCGAACACGTGGGAACCGAGGGGCTGTTACACCGAGGAGGACACATCCACGGGGCACTTCCCATTGCCTCCGGGGAACGCTGGAACCTCATTATTTGGATGAGATCATCTGCCATCCGCAACCAGCTTTGTCCCATGTGCAACAAGAAACCCGACCTGGTGGAAGCAGAGGGGTTTGGAGATGGGTTCACAGACACCCTTGAAGATGATATGCCTGAGACTGTGAATCTCTGTTCTTTGTGGTAGCAGATGGTAGGGCATGATTTCTTAAGACTGAACTGGCTAAAGTTGCTTTCTGACCTCTCAGACCACGTGAAGGGACTCTCTGATGGATGCATCAGCCATGTAACAAGTAGCTGTCACCTGGAAAAACAACACAACAACCAATCCCGCTGGGGTTAGGGAAGCCAGCTGCTTGGCAGGTGAAGAGCTCGTACTTGGGCTAGCCTGGGCTCGCACTCAGCCTTGGGCACTGGAGGAATGTTTGGAAGATGTAAAAAACCTTAGCGCTTTGATTCACTGCAGAGGTTGTGTAAATACATTCAGGTATGCAAGAAAGACCAAAGCTGCTTGGCCTTTGTGAAGACCTCTGTGCCAAGAGCAGCATTGTGGGTCCCCCTGTAAATGGAAAAGAATCATACAATAAAGTTCTACACTTACCGCTCCTCTGCTATTTGCATGGACTCCTGTTCTCTTCCAGATGAAAGGGAAGAGCCTTTTGTTGCTAGACGGCAATGAGGTTGCTGGAGCTTTATCTAATCCAGGCTTAGAAATATTTGTCAGGAGCAATATAAAGAGATGATCCCATAGGGTGGTTGAGAGCATCTCTCAAGGACTCTACCGGCTCTTCGGGAGCAGATGTTTCCCTTTCAAAGATACTGTGAACATCAGCTGAACAAGCAGAAATCAGCTTTAGAGACAAAGCTCTGGGAGCTGCCTCTTACGTAACATAGCAAAACTTTCCAGGGGAAGGCAAGAGCGTACAATCTTAGCCCAAATGGTTAATTCCCCTCCTTTAGGTACAGGAACAGGTGGGAATATAAATTAACCATCTCAGCCTGGGCACAACAGGCAAGCAACTCCTTAACTTGGCACTGAGATGCCTTGGTGACTAATGCATTACGAGGGTCACAGGTTCTCTCTGTCCCACCACTAGCTAGTTGAGAGCCTGAAACGAGAGCTTCAGATGGAAAACTCTCTCATCTACAAAACAAATGAAAGATGCCAGATATTTTTTAATTTGGCTTCTGCATTTGGCTCTGTAGAGAGTTAATTGCGTGTATTTGATATACACATACTCCACTGCATTTTTAGGGGGCTCTTTTCACTCATTTATTCAACTCCAATAATTACAGTGTATGGACTTAGCATAATCAATGATTTTGAAAGGCTGAATGTGAGCAGTGCCAGTATAATTACCACAAAGAGCACTGATCTTAAGCCTTCCCAGCAGATGTGCTGTAATTTTGGCTGGAGATGCCATTAGCATACAGTGCTGATTAGCTTTTCATTTGCAAAACTCATTAAAATTGCATCTTGGGAAGGGAAATGTCCATTATATTTGTGCACTGAACCCCACAGTCAGCACCAAAGGGCTTTTTTTTTCCCCCTCCTGCTTCCCATAGCAAAAGCAATCACGAAGCCTTGATTTCCTTCAGCAGAAAATGCCAGCGTTTCCTATTTGCATCTGAACGAGGTCAAGAAAATTACGTTAAAGAGAAATACCACCCTAAGCCTTTTTTTGCGCCGCACCTGGGTGCGGCAGAGGCCAGCTACAAACGGCTCCCCAGGCCCAGCCCGGGGGCAACACCAGCATCTCCCCCTTGTCCTTTAAAGGGGGAGCCAGGAGGTCGGGGCACCGGCCTGTATTCCCACCCCCTGCTCACTTATTCCCTCACCTCACAACTCGCCCTTAAGTTTCCCTCTTTGTAAGACTGGGATACCGCTTAACACGCCCTTAAGCGCAGTTAGTCTCAGGCTAAACTCATTCGCGCCTTACAAGCAAAGTCACGGTCCC